AAAATGTTTGAAAACCACTGTTTTTAAGGAATAGTTCAGCATTAGGGGAAATTTATGAATTTGTTTTTTGCAAAGAGATTGATGTGTGTTCAATATGAGGCTGCTGCCAGTAGCTAGTTAGCTTAGCATAAAGACTTGAAACAGAGGGAAACAGCTAGCATGGCTCTGTCCAAAGTTAACAAAACTCTGCCTACATAACTTCTAGAGCCTAATAACTTATATCTTATTGATTTAATTTGCCATTTTACTATTTCTTGACCTGGCACAGAGACCAGGCTAGCTGTTTCCTTCCACTTCCAATCTCTATGCTAAACTAAGCTAACTGGTTGCGGGCTGTATCTTCATACCTACTGTACACAAATAAAAGTGGAATCAATCTTCTCATCTAATCCTCAGTAACAAAGAGATTTTTCCCCAAATGTGGAATTTTTCCTCCACATGTGAAGGGATTATCTTCTTTGTCAGAGACTACATCCTACATACCTGCTATAAACATAAACTTTTACTTTTGTGAGACTCACTTCTCTCAAACAGTGAATCCAGCATCCGATACTGAACTGAATACACTGTAGTCATAACTAATATCATCAATAAAATTGCGTAATTTATATGATTAACTGTACGTTAACAGGTGAATGCCAGCAGGTCCTGTCAGCTGTAAGTGGCAACTTTAGCAGCCCCCATTTTCCAAACATCTACCCGAACAACATCAACTGCCACTGGAGCATCACCCTGGCAGCTGGATACCGCATCAAACTCTTCTTCCCCGTCATGGACTTGGAAGACCGCAACAGTCTGTCAGACGAGTGTGACTACGACTCTGTTGCGGTTTACGACGGGAACAGTCAGACAGACACCCTGCTGGGACGCTGGTGTGGCAGGGAGCAACCAGCCTCTCTCATCTCTAAGGGCAACAAGTTGCTGGTGGTACTCAGCACAGACAGAAATAAAGCTCATAGAGGATTCACTGCTTCTTATCTTGGAGGTAAATGCTCACTATACAGGCATGTGATTCATTTTCAGAATGAAAAACTTCACATTTATAATCGGAGTGTTAATGCAACTTGTTCTATGGGTGCTGTAGGTTTAAGTCATGCACCCCCCTTAGTCTAAATCTCAGCTAAATATACACTTGGTAAGACATTAATGCTTAAAATATTTCTCTCTACAAAAAACTCTTTCCCATGTCATTCTTTTGCTGCTCTTCACTGTCTCTTCTTCTCCCCGTACTCCAAGTGGTGCCCGTAAACATTAGCTGCACAAGATCAGAATTCACCATCTTGATACCCCAGCAGTCCTTACCTCAGCTGGACCGTGAGAGCATCTACCTGGGAAACCCAACCTGTGCAGCCCAGTTGACAGCCACCTCATACAAGATACTTGCTCAGTTTGTTAACTGTGGTACTGCTGGCCAGGTGACTAGACTCATGTGACTTACTGGTACACCATAACTGATGATGTACCATACTTGAAGCATTGATTTATGACTTCCTATTATAAATACTGGAACTCCTGTTCCCTTACAGAAACACCGGAACATCACTGTGCTGGTAAACAAACTCTACATTGATTTCTCTGATGGGAAGCAGCAGAATGTGCAGGAATATAAGGTGCAGTGCGATGCCCTACGGAAGGTTGCATCAGTGTCCATCATTTCAGCAGAGGAGCGTCGTCTCGAGGAGCAGGCCCAGCAACCTGACAGTAACAGTGATGGCAATACAGGGGGTCCAGCTTCTGAGCCGCATGACCTGAGCGATATTGTCTTCATTAGCATCTGTGTGCTGGCTGTTATTCTCATGGTGATAGCTATTGTTTGGCTGGTGCTGCTTTAGTAATATATACAGTATATGTATCTATGTACACTACTCACAAAATGTTAGGGATATTCGGCTTTCGGATGAAATTTCAGAATGTACATAAAATGCACTATAACCTTTCCAGATGATCTTAATTTGACCTTCTACTTAAATGCCCTACTTTCATGATATAATATCACTGTAGCATCAACTTTTTACATTTTCCATACATTTCACCCAAAAGTGGAATATCCCTAACTTTTTGTGAGTAGTGTATATACACATATGGTCTTCTTCAACAAAGAAAGGACTGCTGAAATTGTCATATTTTCAATATTTTGTATAAAAATGTTCACAAACAGTATAAAAAAAGGCCCACAATCAATAAACATCATGATTCCAGTACAAAGGAATGGCATTATCATCACCACCATTAATAAATGACATACTATTGTGATTGACATGCATTTTTTAAAACAGTGTAAGGCTGCTTATGTGCCACAAAGTGTAAAAGTATTTTATATCTCCTTTACAGAAAACCAATAAAATAATTTAAAAAAGTTAAAAGGAAAACGTGTATGCATCAAAAAAACCTTAACAAATTTCAAGTAAAACAACCGGAAGTCTTAAATATGCAGTCACAGGCTCAGCCTAATTGTTTATCAGTTCATCTTCTTCATTGTCTTATTCGTTTTCTTCTTCTTTTTCTATTTCTTGTATTTAGAAACCAGCTGGTTGACTGATATTGTGCTGTCCTTCACCTGAGTTCTGATCTCAGGGTTGTGTTTGAAGGCAAACACCAGTGCTCTAACAGTCCGTCTGTATGAGCTGCTGACTAATCTGGAGCTCTGGTGAAACACTTCTCTCTCAATGTTGTCTATAAGACCAGAATCCTCCTGTGGGACCGATAAGAAGAACATACACATGTAAGCAAACACATATAAAAATAAAAAAGTACTGAGTGCTGCATCGACCATGTATGCTGAAATTTAAGCGGACCTCGCTGATTTAGTAAAGGTCTTCAAACATCTCCCACATTTTCTCCAAAATTTCGTGTTACAGTGTTACAGTTTATGTGTGTTTAATGGGATTTTATGTCTGAAGCCATACAAAACAAATATGAGCATACGACAATTGACCAAAGACTGTAGCTCCTCCATCAATTTATATTCCCAAATATTCAAACTAATGTAAATGTAAAGTAAAATGTAAATTAGAGGTGGAATGAACAGAATGAGTAGAACAGAAAAACTTGTACTATTACATTGGACTTCACTGAGATGCTTTTCCTCACCTTGACCTCCAGGGCATCAGACATTAGTCTTCTAGCGTTGCTCCTGAGTCCTTCAGATTGTTTGTCGGCGCGCACTTCAATGGACGGCTTATTGGAATTCTCCTCGATGAACGTCCTCCAGTCAGTGTAAACCTTTGTTGCCATTGAACTCACCTCAGGGTCCAGATGCTTTCGCATTTTGTTGACAGCGTGACCTTAGAGGAGAGAGAATTTAATAATGTGGCAAACTAATTAGTGTAGAGTAAATCTGATAAAGGGCATGGCATGTATGAGGTCAACACAATTTATGATAGCTGTTTGCCTATTTGAGTTATTGTGCTGCTACGACAATGCAGTGGAAGTCAATTTAAAGACTTGTTTGTTGTTTTCTTCATCAGTTGACTTGGTTGTAGTCTGTGCTACATCCTGAGCAGACTGACAATAACAATACATGTTCATGCTTTCCACATCAAGAGTGCATTGGAGCAGCTATATCAGCATAGCAACATTTAAAACATATTGACATTAAGTTTTCCCTGGCCTACCTATTTTTGTGGACTTGAGCACCTCCCTGGATGGGATCTTCTTGCTCAGGTCTGTCAGGGCAGTCAGCAGGTTGTCCTTGCTCTGCTCTGGAAGCTCTAAGATGGACTTGTACCGCATAATGTCCTCAATCACAACCACCCTCTGTAAACAACAACAACAACAACACAAGAGCAGACCCGTTCAATCTGGCACACAGTAACACTGACTTTACTCAATCATTCAAACGCAGGAACAATAGCTCACCCGTAAAGATTCAATTGTAGCTTGTTTGTAAACCTTGTCGTTGCTTTTCGCTTTTTTAGGTGTTTCCCCTTTGGGAAGCCGCACTACGAACTTGTCCATCTTAAAAGATAAAGCAGCAATCCACCTAGCTAATAGACTTGTTGGTTTTGATCAATAAAAGGGAACTGGTTGACGATAACTAAGTTCAGGTCCAGAGACAACCGGTGCTAACTGTTATTAGCCGTTAGCTCCCTGGCTAACGTTACCTCACTAACTCCAACCTCCGTTTGACATTCAAGTTTATAATATTAAACACATTGCTGGCTAATTAATACTCCACACTGCACTAATTAAAAGTCGCCTTTATAACCACAATGGTGACAAATCTGTTAAGTAAAACTAGCTACAGTTAAATGGCTATGGTAGCTGTTAACGTTGCCTTTACGTACTGTCGGATATAACAAAGAGTACCGTGAACCCTAACCCAACAAGTTAGGAAATAAGTAAATAGTTTGAAACTATCGGAGTACACATGTTGCAAAATTCAATAACTAAACATTCATACGAATCAATACAGTTAATAATAACAATAGATAAATAAAAAACTACAAAATGATTAAACACCTCACTGTCACAATGTAATTTCATTGTTTCTATTCCCACAGTGAAGTACATTATTTATTTGAGTACATTTTTTACATCATATCTATATAGTTTTATCAATATTGTCAATGATTGTCACCAATTCAGGATCTTTATCCATCTGCCAAACAAATGCTTTGGCTTGTTTGCAGACAAAATGTTGTAATTAAAATAATCTTCTGCTGCTGCGGTGCATCTACACAACTTGATTTGATTGTGTAAGAAAACAACACACACTTTCCAATTATACACAAAACCAGAAAAAGTATTCTAAACAAAATGTACAACAGATTTCAAAAAGCCCAAGACAAGGTTGTATGCATACAATTTAAGTGTGGCACAAGAATGGTTAAGTTCCAACAATAAAAATAAGCCATTTGACACGATTTATTGTTTGATTATTCACATCATTTGAACATATAATGCCAGAGCCTGTCAGAAGAATCGAGGAATTTACGAGCGGCACTTAAACATAGAAAAACATTTAGCGACAGTCTCGCGTGAGCCGAAGTTCCCGCGAGATTACAAAACCGATTAAGGAGGAGGAGGAAGAAGAGCGTGTTGTTTGTTTAGGTTGTTCGCAGGCAAAATGGGGACTCTCTCCTCCTTTGTCTCTGTTTTGGGACTGTTCGTCCTGCTCGCCTGCACATCGGCATCTTCGGATGTGTTCGACAGCGTGCTGGGAAACACGGCCTCCTGTCACAAGTCCTGTGAAATGACATACAGTCTGCACACGTACCCGCGGGTGAGTACTCCTCCCGACGAGGAAAGTAATGTCTGCTTTGCGTTGGCTAACGTTTTGGCAAGTTGGCGAGGCAAAAAAAAGCGGGGCCCTCGGCTGTGTTTACAACGCCGCCTGTGTCATTTTAAACGTCGTTTTAAAAAATAAAAAGAAAGACGACTTGTGTAAAAGTTGAGAGTGCGTCCCTTTTTTTTTTTCCCACGGATGCTGTTTGTTTGTTTGTCGAGGCATTCAACTGGTCCTCTTGTTTGTTTTGAAGGAGGAAGAACTGTATGCCTGTCAGAGAGGCTGCCGTCTGTTTTCCATTTGTCAGTTCGTTCGTGACAGCGAAGACCTGAATCAGACCAAATCCGAGTGTGAATCAAGTAAGTCACAGTCTTTAAAACCTGTTTTAATTCACCCCACTGTACACTGCCTCTGGCCTCCATGACAGCGCTTGTTAACCGTGTAACCACCTTCAGTAAAACCATAAACAGTTGTGCATATAATCAGTGCTACGTTCCCACACCCAATCCCATAATAATCGGCCTCGCTATTAAAACTTGTATTGCCCGTCGTGTATGGTCTGTATTCCTGTTTTTTTTTTTTTTTTAACCATATGTTACCTCTCACCGCCTCCAAATCCCCGCAGCCTGTCGCGAAGCCTACACCCAGTCTGATGAGCAGTATGCATGCAACCTGGGCTGCCAGAACCAGCTCCCATTTGCCGAGCAACGCAATGAGCAGGTACAAGTACAAGTATGTAACAATCCCTCAGTGGTCTGTATGGATAAACACAAATCTCTCTTTAAAAAAAAAAAAAACAGTGTACTCACTATTGCTTGTTTTTTTGTTTTTTTTCAGCTGGAGGCCATGATGCCTCGGATTCACCTGCTGTACCCCCTGACTCTTGTCCGAGGGCTTTGGGAGGATGTAATGAATCAGGCCCACAGCTTCATCACTTCCACGTGGACGTTCTACCTCCAGGCCGATGATGGCAAAGTTGTCATTTTCCAGGTATGGCACTCAGTAGGGGATCTAAACTCAACGTTCTGTATGCAAACAATGTGGTTCATGCTGTTACTGAGCACAGTTACAAACCCAGTTCTCCCTTCTTTATTTACAGAGTGAGCCACAAGTCAGGTTTTTCTCCCCGTTTGAACTGGAGAAAGAAGTTAAAGAGGAGCCACTACAGAGCTGTAAGTCTTCTACTCAATATTCTCTACTTTTCTTAACCAGATTTAAGGCGTATTCCTCTGTAGCATAAACCTCCAGTGTTGTCCTCAATATCACATAAATGAGGCACATCGTTTTACTGAATGACACGTTCCTCCATCGTAGCCGCTTTTCCACCGCACGGTGCAGCTCGACTCTACTTGCTGGTCTTTGGTTTTCCCATTATGGATAGTAATAGTATTTTTATTTTTTGGTACTACCTTGGTTGAGGTTCAAAGGGAGCTGACCTTATACTAAAGTGGCCGTTGGTCGTGCAACACGGTACATCCTGCACAAACCCTGCATGTTAAAGAGCCAAGCAACCATCAATAGCAACCACAATTAATTTTTTGTCCGACCAAAAATAGCAGCTCACAAAACCACATCTTTCGAAGTGCAGACGTATCAAGAACATCCTCCCTTCATATCCTCTGTTATATAGAGAAGCAGAGGGAAAGGCGAGCAGTGACGCTGGCAGTAAATATACAGTGCGGGTTGCAGTTTGTCAGTGAATAAAGACTGAAGCTTCTCAAGACCAAAGTAAAGTGTGTGTGTGGGTGGGTGGGAATAGCGTCGCTCTGATGCTCAGCGCCACCTAAGTTGAGGGCGTACTATCCAAAGTACTGTCTGCAGTGGAAAACAAAGTAGACTAGAGTTAAGTCGACTAGTTCACTACTACATTAATCCACAGCTGAAAATAGACCCCAAAAATGCATTATTCACTCTTGTTTCTGTAAGGCTTGCTAAAAGCTACATTGCCTAGCTGTTTAAGAAAATTACTTTTGAAATAAATGCATACATTTGTGACCAGCTTTACTGGTTTATATCTTCAGAGGGAGCAAATGGCTAAATATGGAAGCTGGTCGTGCACATTTTCAGTCGGTCTTTCCTGATAGACATTTATAGTTTTGTACTCAGTTGTTCACAAAAAAAAAGAGAACTTGAGAGAGAGAGAGAGAGAGAGAAGTTAAAACCCTGGCTCATTTCTCACCTCTGTAGCAATCACTACATCTAATGGTAAAATCAAGATCAAAGCAACACAACAACAAGGAACACGTTAGATGTGCGTGCATGTCGTAACTTTCTATTTCTCAATTTCAAGTCCCAGGGTTGAGCAGCCCAGTTTACAAAGAATACCATCGCACTATAATCCAGGAGAGGGACAGAGATATGACCGGGGATCGCAACTACGATGATGAATACAACCTCTTCAGCTGTCTTTCGAGGTCGGTTGGCACACGTTTGTCCACATTGTCAAGGAAATGGAATTGTTTAATTTGCTTAGTAGAGCATGACATGGCACTAACAAGCTAATCCCCACACGAGCGCAATATTTGTACTATTGTCTCCAGGAACCCTTGGCTACCAGGGTGGATCCTTACCACAACTCTGGTCCTGTCTGTGCTGGTCCTGATCTGGATCTGCTGTGCCACTGTGGCAACTGCTGTAGACCAGTATGTACCTGCTGAGGTAAGTTTTGTTTTTGTTTTTTTGTTGTTTTTTTTAAGGAACTTCAGTTAACATACAAGCTATTTGATGCATGTACATGTTTGTTACATGTCGTTTTACGGTGCTATAGTTCTTCTTTTTGTACTTTATGGTTGATGGGTAATTGCTTGTAATGTATGTGACCCGATGAAATCAAAATTATAGTTGGACATTTTGGGAAATACGCTTATCCATTTTCCTGTTAAGAGGTGGATGAGAAGCTCTATACTCTTATATCTGTAGGGTAAGTATGTAGCTGGAGCCAGCAACTAGTTACTACACTGGCTCTGTCAAAAGTAAACAACATACCACTCACTAATATAGACATTTTGTTTATTATTTAACGTGCAGAAACTAAAGTGTTACAACATAAATTTTGCATTTTATAGCGACTGTGCCAGACTATTTCCTGGCTGAGATGAGATAATCTCCTGGAGGCTCCACCGGTTGTCTAGCATGACTGTTACTTTTATTTACTCTTTATTTGTAGAGATATGTAGAGAAAGATATGCCACAGAACATGTTAATCAGTGAGCTTTAGAGGTGCTGGGAGGAGCATTTTGTTACCTTGGTACAGAGCCAGGCCAGCTGTTTGCACTCTTTGTGTTACGCTAACTGGCTGCTAAATCTACCGTACACATGTGAAAGTAGCATTGATGGTCTCATCCAACTCTCAGCAAGAATGCAAATGAGTGGGTTTCCCAAAATATCAAACTATTCTCTTCTCACTACAAGGTATTCAAGCTAAAGGCTGTTTAAAAATGTTAAAAGCCAAAACAATATTTGATTATTTTTTATTTTTTTCAGAAACTGAGCATCTATGGTGACAAGGAGTACATGAAGGATCAAAAACTGACCCCATATCCAGCGTCCTCCCTGCTGATCATCACCTCCAAAGGGCCAGAGGAAGAGGCCGGGCCACTCCCTTCCAAAGTGAACCTGGGCCAGTCTGACATCTAGAAGCCAAAGCTGTAGCAGAGAAGGGAAATCCTCCTTTATTAATGATCTAAAGTTGATTTTTATCCTCTGGCACAGGACCTGTGCTTCCTATGGTCTAAACAGGAGTAACTACTTGCAGAACATTTTGTATTACTGATATAATGTCTCGTCTCCCTTTTTTTTTTTTTTTTTTTTTTTTTTTTTTGAAGCTTCTAAAATTGGAGTGATGGAATGGTTTATTTTCTGTATATTTGTATGATCGAGGCATTATAGTATAGTGATATGAGTACAAGTAAAATAGGTTTGGGGGTTTTCTTAAATCTTGATGTGTGCATTAGCTGTTGGTTGGCTTATTTTATTGCATAATGTTCAAATGAACTTTTTGTGACTTGAAGTGATACAGGTTTCACCTAAACCCCTCAACTTTTGTTAAAATAGATTGTGCTAATACTGCAGACTCTCCCTGTTTGTTCCCATGTTTCTACTGCATTGATTTCCAGATATTGAATTTTACATAAAAGCCTAAGCTCTTAATCTTTATTAATAGTGACAGCACATACGGTAGGGTCTTTCCTGCTTCACTATTGACTGTTCTCGTAATGATGATTCAGAATTAAATACAATGGAGTGAAGTTGTCGAGATGGGTGTGACTTTTTTTCAATCATTATATACTGTAGCTGACTGCTATCACTTAAGTGTTTTAAAAATATTGTACATGGGTATGTTAAAGTCAAACTACACTGCAGTATGATACCATGTTCCATGGATGACGCATTATGTTGTGGGCATAGTGCTTCCTTTCGTCGATAATATAAAGCTCTGGTGACGACTTATTGTTAAAATTATTTCAACGTAGTCATTTAGTGTTTATTTTCTCCACTTGGCAGGCAATTCTTTGAGAAGACAGCAATAGCACTGGTTTCCTGTGTGATCTCTGTAATAGGGTAGTGAGCTCTCTGAGGGCTTGCTAATGCAGTAACGCGCCATCACACAACTTGTTTACCACCAGAACTGGAATTGAAGGGTTTAATCTTGGAATCTTCCACAGCTCTCTTACAATATATTTTTTAGCATAACATGCTCCTTTTTCCATTTTTTCAGGCCATCCTATGCAGCCATTTTCCTAGATTCTTATTGTTTTGGTGTGAATATCCTCAGAACTGGCTCTTTGTCAGCTGTATTAACCTGCTATGGGACCCAATGGTAAAAGTTAGCTGTCAGGCAGCCTATAAACCCCTTTTTTCTCTCTGTTTTTGTGCTACGTGTACAACTTCTTTTTTGCTGTGTGGTAATTTGATTTAAAGGCCACTGATTTTACACATCGAAGGCTGTTGACAGGTCTTGGGGAGTACTACTGCATATGTGAAAGAAGTCATGAAGCTTTTTGTGGCTTTAGAGTGAGCTGTGCAAAGTGGTATATTGCCTCAAGGGTTTGGAGGACTACAAGTTTAAAAATGAAAATAATTTGGTGGTGTGGAGTTACAAACAAGTGAGACCTGTAGAAGCCACTTCTCGCTTGAGCGTAGCATGCTGATGGTACATTGTGAGTAATGTAAGTGCCAGGTTTTGGAAAGGAAGAACAGAATGTGTGGGGAAAAAAATAAAATTACCTCTAGTCATGCTGCATCAATATTGATGCTTTTTTTTAGAAACTGTCCATCGTGTGTGACAGTATCCTAGGAGTGCGATGCTAAATTAGTGCACTCCTCTTAACACAGTTATTTAGATATATGCAGCATACGAACACAAACCTTGCACAGGGACTGTGACTTCAAAACAGGGCCTCGAGATTAGGTGATGTAGCAATAACCTTAATTCCTTATCATGTCCTTTAACAGTGTGCATCAGTGCTGCATATTCCCAAACAGATTTTCAATTAAACAAGTTAACACAATGTTAAGTACGGAGCTTTTGAGGCCTTAGGGCAGTTGTCCGCTTCACCCAGTAGTAGGTGTAGTATTGATGTAATTACAACACTGCCATATTTGGTCTGATGATCAGCCAGTGTGTGTCTCCAAGAAGCAAAATGACAAGCAAAGTTGTTGAAACATGCAGAATACTAAACTTTATTTATAAAAATATATAAACAAAACAACCAACAATCACCTGTATCCAAGAAAAACTAGTTCACCAGTGTTCGTCTTGGAAAATATTCTTGTTGGTTTGGGCCTGAATGTTACCAGATAACCGACAGACTGTGATGTGGAATGCTACACGGACGCACACCTCAATAGCTGTTCAACAAGTCAATGTCCTCTGCAGTGAGAGCTGGAGAGGACAAACGTTTTGTCGGAGGGCTTTGACGTGAACTCTCACACCTTTCTGGCTGACGCTGCCTTTTTTTGATATTGTGCCGTGGCTTCGCTTGAGGATTCGTTGCGGAAGGAGTCTGTTTCTCTGGTATGTGACTATTTGCTGGAGGTCTGTGGAAATGCAGTCTCTCTCTCTTGGCCTCTTCCTCGCTCTCACATACCACGGGTGCTGCGCTCAGTACTTCTCTGACAAACTTCTGTCTGCCAACTAGAAAAAAAAAAAAAAACACTTTCAAAACTCATGTGTCAGTGTTAAATATAGCCTATTACAGTGTAATCTAAAATGAACTTACAAAAGCGAAGTGCTGACGTTCTGGAATCTTCAATTTTCTTCTGTTTTGGCATTTGCGAGCCATTTGTTTCCCACTGGTTTACAACCTGAAAATGAGACAATACATTTGTCAAACAGCACTACTGTACATCTGCAACATTTAGCCCATAATTAAAACAGCAGTCCTTACATTAAGGAACATATGTTTACTTTTCATCAACGTCTGAAAATATTTACCTGCTCTGCCCAACCTTCTGTTTTACATCTTGAGTGATCAAAGCTGTCCAGTGGTTTCTCAGAATACATGAGCCCCAACAGGTCCCATATGGTTGTCTTCAATCTTGTGCCAAGCTGGAGGTATAAATTACATTTAGTTGTCAGCATCACAACAAGCTACAGCCAAGTGTTGCACAAAAACAATTACTTGTACCTTCAAACTGGTCCCAGATGCATCCAATTTTTCAAGTTTGGGGAGGCATGTGAGGTATTTGAGAGCCCTCTCTGTAATAGGGTTATCTGTATCAGAAATAAAATAAGTGATCAGCATCTTAATGATGGATGTCAACTTCTAAATTCTTTAAATTAGAATTTAAAAAAGAGATAAAAGAAGATAATATTTTGGTTACTAACAGGAAACATCAAGGAACTGAAGACAGTCCAGTCCCTTCCTCATCATCCGGATAGGTGCTGTCAATCTTTGTAGGCCGACATCTGACAGACTGTTACCACCAATGAAAAGCTGAATCAGGCTGCCGGAGAAGCAAGACACAAGCGTTAGTATCATCTTGTCTTAAATTCTTCACATCATGCCTTTGGGAATGATAAAATCGGGTATTACCTTGCCAATGAGCTGGATGTTAGATGAAGGAATATCTCATGATCATCACCCAGTCTGCAGCCAAACAGATCCAGAGACTTCAGACTATGAAATGTTTTTATTTCATCCATCCTCTCATGCAGAAGTGGAAATCTGCACAAATGAAAGGGACAGGAGATGTTGCAAACAAACAAAAAAACTGGGAGGCAGGAGATATATTGGCACTATAACTTACCTATTTCTCAGACAGAGGGATCCAAGCACCATCTCCCCATATGCATCACTGAATAACTGCAGGGCCTTTGGAGAAATGTCTGCGTTTAAAAAGACACGATTCTCCTCTGCTGCTGCAAAAAGCCTGTCTCCTATTTGTTCGGGGAAGCCCACCAGAGAGTCCACATGGTGAATGTTGTCAGCTACGAACAACAGAGTGATGTCAAAGAGAGATTTTGTGGTATATCTCAGACTGCCCTCTGCATTGTAGGTGAATATGAAGTGCTCTTTTCTCAGCACTAAAGGATGTGTCCTTCTGCATGATGACACTGGCTTTGGCTGCGCTAGGACTATATCACTGACCCGGCGAAGGTTGCCTCTTTCTCGGACATAAATGGTGCTACTGTCCATGCTAAGGTCACACTTTTCCTTTACTTGTTAGAAGGACAAAACTCGAGCTCGGTCAGTCAGCTAGCTCGGCTAACCCCCTGAAGCATAACAAAAACTCAAGGTAGCTCGCTAGTTAGCTAATCTGTGGTCCTTGGCAGAGCAAAAAACCCAGCACAAAAGGATCCATAAGTCTTTGATACGACTCTTTTATTACCTGATATTGTTTTTCATTGTATTTCGCCAACTTATTCACTACTTGAACGGATTTTTTTAAGTATTTAGAGCTCCTTGTTGTAGCCTACAGTGCAAGTTATCTGTTGTACCTCTCGCTTGCTTCAACTTCAAAATAAAAGTCCACAACTAAAATAAACTATTTTCAAGACCCGAAAGGACAACATAAGCGGCATGAATTTCACTCGAATAAACTTCTAAAAACACGATTATGTAGAATATAATCCATCATGACACTGTCAATTATATGTTCAATGAAAAGAAAACGTTCAAACTCTTAGTTTGAAACTGTTTAGTAACAGGAAGAAGTCTTGTTTATATGGCTAGTATTTCCTGTTCCACGCAACACAAACCTAGCTGAGGGAAGCGAAATGATTTTTAGGAGTTTTGGAAGATAACTTGGTAAGAATACATTATTTAAAGAAAACAATCAGCAGTTTTTTATATATACAACCGAGGCTCTTGCTGTTTTGCCAGTCCTAGTGTCACGTTAGGCATTCAATATAAGTTCATTAGTTATTGATGAGCTGTCAAGTGAGGGTTTGGTAGCTAACTTAAGCTAACTTCTAACGTTTCCTTTTTGCTGTATTGCTCATAGTTTACAAAGTTTTAAACCAGCATATAGGGAAGCAATGATTAGGCTTGGAAGTTAAAAAAAAAAAAAAAAGTTATGTTTCTTTCCTTCACAGCTTTTTTCTAAGATTAAGTTGTTGCCTTAGTGCAACATTAACATAAATTCCTGAGCCGAACCTCGTCACTGAGAGTGAATCCGTGTAAATGGCGTCCACCAATGATCCATTTCAATTCCAGGGTGAGTGTCCACCACACTGTTCTGTGTCATAAGGAAATGAAGTTGCTTTATTGATGCTACAGTTTACTGTTCTCTCTCTCCGTCTCTATGGCTGTAATCTGTAAACAACCACCCCTCTCCCTGTGCTGCACTGTGATGCATTAATACAGTATCTGTATTCATATTTTCCATTATCTATGCCATGAGAATAGAATTTGAAGAAGCCGGCAATCTGTTAGAAGCCAACAGAGATGCAGTCACCATTAGCATTGAGGATGAAGATGTCAAACCCGAGAAGCAGAGAAAAGCTGCTGGTTTCACTGCTGATGAGGAGGAAGAGGACCCACTTGCCGGTGACAAGACAGAGGTCTGGACCAGATTATTTTTCAATGGGAATGTGTGTGTGTGTTTTTTTTTTTTTTTTTGTGGATTATTAAATGTTGATGCATCAGATATTTATTTTATTATTTGTTTTTGTATTAAGCTTCTCTCTGGGCAAAAGAAGAATGCCCCTTTCTGGACGTTTGAGTACTACCAAAGATTTTTTGACATCGAGACCCATCACGTAATATATTTACAACTTATAATATTATTGTAATAAGTAGTGTTTCAGGACAGTTGTAGCTTTACATATGTAATGGTTATTTATATTTCTTTCAGGTGAAGGAAAGGATAATTGGATCAATGGTACCATGGCCTGGAAAGAACTTCATTCATGTCTACCTGCGCAGAAATCCTGATCTTTATGGTTAGTGCTCACACATGTCCTGTTTAGAGATTTTAAACAAGAGAAAATGGTATTCCTGTTCTGTACTGTAGCTTAAAGGTGGTAATATTTGTAACTGGAAGTTCTTATCCTTGGTATTTGTGCTTTCAGGACCATTCTGGATTTGCACCACTCTTGTGTTTGCCATTGCCATCAGTGGAAACATAGCCAACTTTCTGGTGCACTTAGGCAAACCCAACTATAAGTATACCCCAGAGTTTCAAAAAGGTGAGTTCTGTTACTCTTTGGTATTCATGGAGCATTTTTTTCAGGTTGAATGTAAGGGGAAACTACATTTTACTTAAAATTTGCTGTATTTTCCAGTGACCATAGCTGCAACAGCGATCTTCAGCTATGCTTGGTTGGTGCCCCTTGCCCTCTGGGGTTTCCTGCTATGGAGAAACAACAAGATCATGAACTTGGTGTCGTACTCCTTTATGGAGATTGTCTGTGTGTACGGATATTCGCTTGCGATTTACATTCCAGCAGTGGTAAGAGCTAAAAAGGTTTTAATTTCACATTCACTTTTCTATTTCATAAACTACAGTTGTGATGATGATGATGATGATGATTTGCATGAAAAGGCCATGGATTGTTATTACAATGTCCTTGTTCATGATAATAAAGGCCCATGTCACCCAGAGCAACAGTGTGTCGCACTGATGTATTTTTTTGATGGGTTTTGGACAACAATGGAGCAATATGGGACATACACCTTAACATTAACAGATAGAATTTTTTAATATACCAAGCAAATAGATTTTAGCACACTGTATTTAATGATTGCGTATCAAACAGAATATTGCTACCTTTCAACACAATGTAATTGATTTTCCCCTGTATCATGAATACATTCAGAGCATTGATTGTGTCTTCTGATAGTTCTTGCAGATTATATAATACACTTTTGTTTCCCACATAAGGTCTTATGGATTCTCCCATATGAATGGCTGAGGTGGTGCTCCATTGTGGTGGCCCTTTGCCTCTCCGGCTCAGTTCTGGTGATGACTTTCTGGCCCGCAGTCAGGGATGACCACCCCAAAGTTATCATAGCAATCATGTCAGCCATCGTTGTGCTCAACGTTCTGCTTGCCGTTGGTTGTAAGGTAATTGTGATTCTGCTTTTACATAACTTTACTCTACTACTTTACTAATTAATTACAAATTTGGGAAATATGGAAAACAAATCTGTTCGACGAAATAAGATACGATATTCATTGTTCCGCTTTGGCAAACTGCATCTTCACTGATCCAGTTGATTCAAGCTACCTGTCCATCTCGGTGTAGATAACAACAATGACTGACTCATTCCCGTTTGTCCTCAATGATCTCAGTAGCATGGCCAAGACTTGACCCAGCTTGTCTATGTCAATCAGAGACCGTACACTACACTACATGTACATTTTTGCGTGTCTCTCCCGGTGTGTTTCTGGGAAATAACTATACATGATAGTGTCAAGTTCGCTCCCCTTTGACTCTCTTCATTGGAAACTGTGACCGCATTTGCTAACTGGTGTGAGAACGGGCTGTTAGTGCACTTCTTAATGTGAATACGGTCAGGTCCACTTGGGTATCATATGTCGGGTCTCATTCATGTAATTAGTCTACAAAGTAAGCTGCGTCTGAAGGGTGACTAAGATGAATGGATTGCAGAAAAGCTGTATTCTCTCCTTAATGCTGAACATTTGCTGCACACTTACTCAGAGACACACCGGCTTCAGTTCTTGATTGATTAGTAGTTTCTCTTCAAACTGTAATTGCTTCTTTGTCGCGTTGTTTTACACTCTTTGACTTCTTTGTTCGGTTTTCGGTGTTCAGGCCTATTTCTTTAGCAGTCCAGAACCAGCACTATCAGTTGAAACTGCAGCAGCGGAGATCAAGACAACGTCTTCGACATGAAAGCCTTTCATTGTCTGAAGGTAAACAATGGTGACACTGAAGCTTTTTGTGGCACAATCCCTTTGTACAAATACGCTAAGAATGTGATACATGTAAGTCATATTTCTCCCCTTTGTACTTTCTCATGGCTGTTTTCATATTTACATTCAGTAGTATCAAGAACGATGACCTCCTAGTTCAGTAGCAGCTCCACATTGCTGGCCTATTTAGTAGCTTTGGCACGAGTGTAGTGTTTTTTTGACCTACTAGAGCAGAACATCTGACACCGGATTTCCTTTACATGATTTCTCCTTCCCAAAGTAAGTGTTATTCTTTTTTGAATTGCAGGTTCTCCTGTTGCCTTATTAGAGAGAATCAGGTTGCTGTGGTGATGAAGTCATGGGTCGTCTGGATTTCACCTGCACTTGAACATTCAGGCTTAGGACCTTAGAACCTAGTGTGTCTGCTTGGTTCAACTGTGTGACCTCTGAAAATGAACACTGGTACCAAGTATGTTATTTCTAATGGGATGGGTCTAAAATTCCTTTTGATAAATGCGGTATGGTGTTACACAGCACAAGAGATCTCTTTTAGTAAGATAGTTTTCCGCTTTATGGGTCTTCTGTTGAAATATTTAGATAACCAGTCTGTGCGGTAATGTTGGCGGCATCAAAGGCATTTTGTATATGAATTTTTTATATTCTGTTAATGGTAACAGGCTAGTAGGCTTTGTATGTATGAACAGCACAACAATTATAGGTGTTGGGAAGATATTCAAGGGTTGGACTTATTATGTACAAATAGAGTTACTGTATTGTCCTCCAACTGTTGTAACCATAAGTGCCCTCAACTAATGCCAAAGACCCATTCTATGTGTATATAAAAAAAAAACGTGTGTAACTTTTTTTTAAAAATCAGTTTGTTTTTTCGATGAACTGCGTTTGATACAATGTATGAAATTTAATTTGTTTGTGCTCAATTAGTGTTTCATGGGGGAAACAAATAAAACACTTTGTGGGACCCACCTTTTATTAATAAAATGGTCATTGTTATGACAGTCATCAATTTACAGTCAACTCAAAGCCTATTTGCAAGCACAAATTTAACTCTATGAAAAGATTATTCACATGCTGTCTTAGCCTGTATAATTAAAAATGTATGTACTCTCCGTGACATCATCCATAGGTTTCTGAAGAGCCGTTGTAAAGCTCAGTGTGGCCTGCTCTGACTGTCGCCATCTTGGCTGTCCTGACTCCACCAGCTCTTGGCTGATCCAAAAATGAGCAAGATGTGAAATGTGGGTGGAACTGAAAACAGCTGGTCATTCCCTGAATTATGCATAACTTTGAATTGTAATATAATGTGTGGCTACTTTTTCCTGTCATGGAGATTGTTGGTCTCTACCCACATAAACGAAATATATAAAATTTTGGGAAGCATTCTTATTCCCTTTCTTGCTATGACCAGCATCAGAAGATTGATGCCACTCTCATGTCTTCAGGATGAATATGAATCTATAACTTTAAAATGTGGAAACAGCTAGCCTTACCTTTTTAACATTAACCACACTTCCCTTTTTTCAGTCTAAGCTAAGCTACCCAACTGCTAATTTTAGCCTTACATTGAACTGACACATATGAGAGTGGTATCTTCTCTATAAGCCTGTTTCCCAAAATGTCTAAAGGTTCCTTTCAATAACATCTAAGTTTCTTTCCACTGAAGTCTAAAAACATGTAAAACCTTTGCTTAATACCAACTGAAATTCAAATCACTTGAATCATATGACTATAGATATTTGCATTATATTAATACTTAAAATGTCAGAGAACAATTTCTGTTCACCGTTTTCCTTTAGTAAACTTAAAGTTCCAGGTAGGCCAACCTTAAATCACCCCAGTCACCACATGTGTCAGCAACATGACTCTTTTCCACCAGCTCCTGGCAGCATTAAAGGCGGCCAGTACATTTCAACAGTTGGACATTTTAAATATTTAAGGGAGAGATCGTATCTAATAGGTATAACTTCAACATTTCAAAGACAGCGTCTAACTTTAAAAGTGGGCATCTGGCTGCTGCTGCTGTTTTTCCAGCTCATCTATCTAAACTGTCGTGTGGTCGAGCAAACTGATAGAATCTACTGTGTCACTGTTTGGATGCACAGATCACCTGCAATGGAAAAATGTTACTTATGTATGTAAAGCCTGTTTCTACAAGCACACCGCGTGTGGTCAGCACCTTACACGCGTGGGACCTCTGTTAAGTCCGTGTTAAATATTTCCATTGATTAACAAGGGCAATGTTTTTAGATTAATTAACAAAATAGAAAAAGAAATTGTGTCACTTGAAACGGTGTCAAAGGGATGGTGGCGCCCTAATTAATGGTCATTCTAGCCCCAGCTTTGAGTTACACAGGAGCTGCCTGTCAAACAGATAACCCTGTTAGAGGAATGTCACCTGCCTCAGTCTGAGGCATGCATGTAGCTGCTCATGCTTGTGAAGTGGATTTACTAACACCATGCTTAAGGACGATTTGAATAACTTGAGTAGTAACATTTTTTAAAGAAGAAAATGCTCTTTTAATATCATTTTTTTTAAAATATTGAGATTTGGAAACCTTACCGTAGGATGGCAACCTCAAATGGGAAAGGTGAAAAGGTGTCTAAATTTGAGACACTGAAGCTTTTGGAGAAATGCAGAAAGGAAAGAGACGATGCCATACACAGAGAAAGTGTTCTCAGAGAGAAACTCAGACAGTACGAGTCAAGGATGCGTTCAACTGAGGCTCTGAAACAGAAACTGAAGAGCTTGACTATGGACAACAAGGAGCTGAGGAAACAAGTGAAGACTCTCCGTACTGAGATTGGACTCGAGTGCAGCCCTAAGTTCAACGGAAAGACCACAAAGGACATAATCAACGACTTGCATGAAAAGGACCGTGAGTGCAGTTCCCTGGTGGAGAAGGCTGGGAAACTGAGTCTGACCATTGACGACTTGACCTCAGAGTTGGCCAATACAGTCACCTCTAAGACACTTTTAGAGGATCAAGTGCAGTCATTGCAGCAAAATCTCAAGGATATGACGAATAATCAACGCCGTCTGCTGAAGTTGTGGGAAGACAAGAAGTCCCAGAGGGAGCAGCTGGCCCTCCCTGCCATTGCCCAGAAACAGGGACAGAAACCATTTGTCCATAGAGCAGTTCAAACTGAGATGTCCATTGGTTTATCCCAAAAGCTCCCAGTCAATGCCTTTGAGACCAAGCCATTCTCTCTGGATAATGACAAAAAGACAGTTTTGGATAAACACAGTTTTCCAAATTATGGAAATGGCTATCATCATGACAAGAAAGGTTTTTTGCACGACGAGGCCAAAGGAATTCAGAATTGACTTATTGACTCAAAGCCACTGACGCTCTGCATTGAAAAAATAAAGCAGAGATTTAGCAAATCATAATTGGACAAACTGGGATAAATGAATAAATCTGTAAATAAACAAATGAGTAAAACACATAAGATTTAAACAATGAAAGGCTGTTCTAAAGGCTTGTCTTGGTGCCTTGTGTAATTGAATTCTGTGTCAATGTAGTCATTTCACTATCTATATCATCCAACTGTAAGCTAACTTTATAGACCTGTTTAAGTAAACTTTTATCCGAAGCAACTTTTAAACGATATTGTTTGTGGGCTTATTCCGTTCAACCAAGCTCGCATTGGCGAGACAGTACCGAATGTATACACATATTAATACCGAACAACACTCGTTAGACTAAATTCGTGTGGCTGTGATACTGGCAGCAGGCAGGAATACCGACAACTTTTAATCGGGGTCCTTCAAAGGTCCTCTGAATGCATGTGGCGCGATATGGGAAACTGAGTAGAGAATAGTTTGACAGCAGGAGGAGAGCCGAACAGATTGTGACCGCCGTGTGGCTCTCCGTCCATCAACGCAACATGTTTTCTGCAGAGCAAAGTTGTTGGTTTGTCCGCAAGGTGAGTCTTTAAAGTTAAGTCTTTAAACTTGAGTCTTCATTCATAAACGAGAACACGTACCGGCGGTGCTAGCGTGCTAACTCCAAGTAGCCCGTCTGTTTATGCTAAGTCGAGCTAAAGCGAGCGTTGTAGCTGTTACTGTAAGTGGCACAATAATAATAATAATAATAATAACAAATAAATATGTGTCCCATAGGCCCAGTATATGTGTATATAAGTTTTTATACCGGAGCTAATTAAACTAATAGGCTAAGCAAAAGAAAAATAGCTAGCATTAAATATGTTTTTAAAATGGCTTGCTATATTTATTAAATACAATAAAATATTTCCTGACAAGTCGGTGTACAGTTAAGTTTTGCAATTAATGAATTATTAATATATATATGTTATATTATAATCAGGCGGAAATAAGTTTGAAAAATGTCGCCTGTTGGTTCACTTCCATACGTTAACCAGCACAATGGTCAAATGAATGCTACTGATTGGTTTTAGAAAAAGACTGTGTCCAGATGTTTGAGTGCATTTTCAACGTTAAAGGACATTCACATCTGGTTGTCTTTGCAAACTGTAACTTATGTGCACACTAAAAAAAAGAACAGATGCTCAGTAGTTTGTGTTTCTTTCTACCACTAGAGGAACAGACAGTGAAGTATCCTGAAGTATTTTCACCAATAATGAATCTGTCTGTTATTTTCATGTTTAGGTAAATACTCGTTTAGCCTTTAACATGCAGAAAATATTTGAAAATGCTAATCACTTAAATTTTAAACTTTAAATTTCTTTTATTTTTCTCTGTATTCTAACATATTTTACATCACAGACCTTTATGCAATATTGCGACGAGGTTCTGAAGAGAAAGGGTTGTGTATTTGATAATAAATGACTGACTGCTGTTCAGGTGATTTGCTGGAGAGCTGCGGCCAGTATTGCTTGGGCTGTCCTGTTGTTGCCACCCATCACTGCAGTTTTTGTAATCCTCAGCAAGTTCAGCCTCCTGCATCCCATCCAGACGATATCAGGTCAGTCACCACGTCCGTTACGAGATTTGACTCGTAATCTGAGGTCGTGTGAAGCTTATTGTAGACTGTTTTTTACGTGCAGAATGCCTGTCCCTCCTAACGAGTGCAAGTGCGGTCTTCTCATTAATCCTGCTGTGTGGCGTGATCCTCATGGTTGGGTTCCTGAACCTGGAGTACTATACAGGTGAGTGTCAGGGGGCTGTTTGGTATTGTTAACTTGCATCTGAAGGATGTCATGTGATTGACAGGTTCATCCAGTTACCTGTTACTTTCAGTTTAGCAGAGTAAAGACACATTGCATCTGCTCAACAGCACACACAGTCTTTGGTTGTAACTCTTGTTGTTTGTTCTGTTTCTTCTAAGTCATCCCAACTATTGCATGCTCGAAAATTGCCCTATTGGGTCAGCTGCTCCACCCTCGTCAGCTTGTCAACTCCCTGGTCCACTGCATCATGGGAATAATCGTGGCATGGTGTTGTGCCATCACCATCGGTGGCAGATATGAGACACTCGGCTACCCTTGTGCACAGAGTGATGGGTAAGCAAGCTACCACATAAAACATGTTTAGCTTTACATACTTCATCCATAGTCTAATTGCCCGTTTGTTTTCAACAGTGACAGCTCTCCTCAGATGTGTTTAAATGAGTATCACCTCATCCTTCTGCTGGCTGGAGCCTTTGTTGGATTCTCTTACAGTCTGCTGGGTGTGATCCACAACATGAACTATGTCTCTTTCCACACTGTTCAGGTATGTGACATGAGTTTACTCATTTAAACCACTGAAGATGATGCAAAGACTGACTATTTAAGTATATATCAATTTAAGATCTATTTAGATCTCAAATGCAAATACGGTGCTTTTTGTAGTCATTAATCGGCCAACATTTACACCTCTGTCAAATCTGGTTTACACTTCTGCCAATCAACATACAGGTTTATTCATCTTTGGTATCTAAAAATGCAGACCCAAACATTAGAAAGACAAAATATCAGGTATTATCCTTTTCAATCGTTTATG